TGTGTGTGTGTGTGTGTGTGTGTGTGTGTGTGTGTGTGTGTGTGTGTCTGTGTGTGTGTGTGTGTGTGTGTGTGTGTGTCTGTGTGTGTTTGTATTTATTGGTGGGGGGGTTATTGAGAGAGAGAGGGAGGGTACATGTCGGGGCTTGTTAAAATATGCCAGGATCACACTGTAGCCTGTTATTTTTCCCTACAACTTTGTAAAATTCCATGTTTGCTCAGAGACGACAGATTAGACACCAGGAGTATTAGTCATACTGTAGCTCCATCAGCTGCAAAATATACTTGATCATGGTGTGTTTGCTATATAAATAGTTAAAATAAAGGATGGTCAACACCTGTGCACTCATAATGATACTGTGTGTGTGTGTGTGTGTGTGTGTGTGTGTGTGTGTGTGCGTGCGCGTATGTGAGGAAACCTTTTATTTACTCTCGAGACTCAGGTCAAAGTCAGATAAGACACTTACAACTCTGCCCCAGTAAGCAGATAAAGCATTACTTTGACATAAACACACAAAGCTGGCTGAACACTGAGCGCAGCTCTGGTTTATTTTTAATCTTTTCATTTACAACAGATCAGCTCAATGACAAACAACAGCAATAACAAAATGAGTTGTCCGGCCGCTAAATATATTGTGCCCAAAATTGTCTTAACTATTGTCTTGAATATGAACTGTTGTCCGGCATGTTTGTCCCTTGGTGCTTTTAGGTGGCCGTATCAACAGCAGGGACGTGTGGATGTATAACTCCCAGCTCAACCTGTGGATCAGAGTGGCTTCTCTTAACAAAGGCCGCTGGAGACACAAGATGGGCGTCCTTCTGGGGAAGGTAAGGAGGGAGCATCAAGCCAGATTTATGCATAATCTGCATTGGGATGCATGCACCGTAGATGCATCTGATGTAGGAGTTGATTTATGTTCAGTGCCAGATGCCACTCATTGATGGCACCCTCACAACTCTAGATCTGTGTCGTACATTATCGAGCCCTCTCGTATACCCCAAAGTAACCATGTTAACGTTTTTCCATTACTCTATGATATAGAGCGACTCTGGAGCTATAATCGCTACGAGCAGTAAATTCGGTTTTCCAAGATCAATTTCCTACAGTTCAGCTACTGAGGCTACACGCGTGGCTCTGCTGCTACTCCACAAGTACAAATCCAGCACATACACTTTCAACGAAGCACCAGTTCATTGCCCCAGGAAAATCTGCTTATCAGTGATCCTCCATGTTGGTCTATGAGGCCACCCTGTGACAAGGAGCAATATCATTTAATGTGTGTGTGTGACACATCCTTTTGTTGCCCCAGGGTTTGTAGACGACTGGTGCCAGCTCGTCTCACACATCCTGGAAACATACGCGCAGATTCAACAGAGAGAAGGAAGTTTGCCTTTATTTAAAAGTGGCATATAAACAAGTTCCTCAGCTACTGGAATAGTGCAGCTGATTCACTCATTAAATACCCAACACATGGAAAAAGCTTCACTCCTCGATCACTGCCTCTACTCTTGAGCTGTTACTATTTACAGTGTTTGGGAAGGCCAGGTGGACATTCTTGTTAGAGGGCAATAGGAGTCTAATAGACATGTGCCAGCACCTCACACTTCCAAGTTAAGGACTAGCTTAGTCCACCTGCCCATATCATGTCTCACATTAGCCTGGAGTGGCCTTACATAGCTGTGAGAATCCCTAATAAGCCTGTAAACACACACTTGGTTCACATACGTTGCAAATTTAGCTCTGTAAATATATTCAGTACGTAAAGAAAAACTATCCTTAGATTGAATAGCTATATTCTAATTTGTGAAATGTTTTTTTACCACATGGTTTGTTTGGAAATGTTCTTAAACTAGAAAGTCTAGTCTGTCTTCATTGCACAACATTTATTTATTTTTTCGCATTTGTGGTTGTAAAGACCGTCTTAATGCAAAAGTCGTTGATCTGTGTCGTTGATCGCGTTCCTCACGAGAGGTTTCTCAACTGTAATTATCTGTTATGAGAGTTGTGTAAAGAAGAACGTCCATGAGTTGTCTTGGTTGAAGCAGGCCGAGCATAAACGGAGAGGACTCCCCTAACACACCACTCACAAACTCAAGTGTGTGCTTCAGACATCATGTGTATAACTTGCGTTTGTATGCACACATAAAGAACATGGACACAAGTACAAGTATTCTTGGAAAGCTTTGGGCTAAAACTCTGCTTTGTTTACTTTGTCAGGAAGGGCCTGACTTATCTGCAGCATTTCTGACAAAACATTACATTGTTTTAAAGCTCTGCTTGTGGCAAATCTGTATTGGATTTTCTATGATTTTCAAACAACAATCAAAGTGCTTAGTTGCCTTGCCACAGAAATAAACAAACACACATGCATGCATTCAAACTACACAGAGGTCCTCCACAACAGTGATGTAATCAGCTGGAGGCTCTCACTCTGGCTGTAAAAGTCAATAATTGAATCCAAAGTGAGTCATGTATCCAGTTATAGTGAAAACCAGATGGACCGAAATAGGTCATTTAACTTGACTCTAAAGGTTATAGAACAATAATACTATACTTGCGTCCAAGGCCCGCTATCTTAGAGGTTGAACTGGTCAGGCATCCCACGCAACATATAAGCAGTAATACACATGTAGTGCTTCATGGTATAAGCACAAACACAGGTTTCGTCCTTTCTTGAAAAACGCATTCCTCTGAGATATTAAATCCCAGAAGAGGCTATTGTCTGCAACCACTTCCTCTTTCTGTACCACACATGTGGGTTTGTCTTCCCCTTCTCATATTTTCTTCTCTCTGTCTTTGTCTGTTTTACAGAGAATTTATTTTTGTTGTAGCTTATCTTTATTTTGTGCCTGATCTTCTTTGTCTTGTCATTCTCCTTCAGAACTTCAGGTCTTTATCACATCTCATTTCCTCATATCTTTTTATATCTTCTGTCTCTTTTAAGATCTACGTATATCTGTGTTGTTGTTTGTTCTTTTTTTTTTTCAATTTTCCTCAGAATTCAGTTCCCCCTCCTCCTCAGTCATGTCCTCGTTCTGCCTGTAATTTCCCCCCATTTGATGAGCAGCAAGGCTGAGTTTAGTAAGCAAGCCTGTGTAATGTATGCACGCTCATGCTTACACATGACTTGCGCTAACTCACTACTCAAACAATTTGCATGTTCATTTGACAAACCAGAAATCTTTTCAGTGGCACGCGTACGTACACCCACGTAATACCTATACTTTGGCAGACCTTCCATTTACTGCACGCACACACACAAGTGGATCATGCAGGCATAGAAATACAAGAACACGCTGTATTGTGTGATGTCCTGTTGGACTGGTTGTTTCCTTAAGAGTAGAAGCAAAAATAGGTCACCATTTGTTTTCCTCTCCCTGTTATGGCTGCACTTGGTGACGGCTGCTCTCATCTATCCTAATGTTTCGCCCTCTATCTCTCTCTTTATCTCTCTCTTTGTCTCTCTCACGGTCCGTTTCTCTCTTTCTTTGTCTCTATTGTTCTATGCTTGTAAATTATATTTCCCCCTTGAAGTCCTCTGTGTTTCTGTCATGGTCATTACTTCTCCCTAATCTGCATGTTAAAGACAGTTAATCATGCAGCCGTTGCCAGTGTTTGTTGCCAGCGGTCATAAAATAAGTTGCGAATGTGCTTGTTTGGTTGTTAGCAAGTGTGTGCTCAGATAGTCATGAATCATGTTTGACTTGGTGTTTATGTGACTGCCACATACCCTGAGTCAGTATAATGTATGTGCTACCATCACGGAGCACACCTTCACGGTGTGTCCAAACCACGTGGGGGTTTTTATTGAGAGTCTGCAAAGTGGTGAGGGCGAAAAGAAAAGAGGGCTGCATCGTGACAAAATGTTCTCCTGGAGACACCTACTGTGTCTGTCTGTCTGTCACCGTGATAGTGTCACAACTGTGCAGGATGCAGTCCCGAAACCTTCGAGGTGTGTAGTAACGATCATCAGCTGCTTCAACATTACAGTATGAAAATATACAAATTTCATTTGGTCTACGTGCCCATAGTTTTATTCTGTGAGTTTAAACTCGCAGAATAAACTGCCCCCACCAAAATAGGCTACATTTACCTGTTGTTGTCATTAAAACACAGAGACAACAATATTTTGAAACCACCACCTGAGTTGTTAGAGCAAGAGTGAGCAAGTTATTTTTGTCTGTTTCAACTTGTCAGTTAAAAAGGTGGTAGTACTATCAATTAGCCCAGGTGTTTGATGCAAATACTTGCATCCACTTCCATCTTTATCTTCCCTATTTTTCCCTCCATCTTTCTTTGTCTTTGTTTCTCTCTCTCTGTCTCTCTCTCTCTCTGTGTCTCTCTCCCCCCTCCCTCTCTCTCCTCTGTTTCTTGTTTACTTCAAGAAACAGAAGCTTCAGATTTTGTGTGGAGACAGGAACAGCCCGAGGGTTTTCTGTTGATGAGTAATGCTGTGTTCCTATAACCAGTAATGTATGTATTCTTGACACATGATATCCTTTCAGTTATTGAGGAAATAGAAATTTACCATAAATCTGTACCTTCCACCAGCTTTTTAACACTCTTCATTCCTCATGTTCCCAATTATTTTTTCTGATTTTGCCAATCATTGCGCTCCATAAGCGTAGTATGTGTAACCACAGTGTATATCTTATGTCAACAAAATTCTCCAGTCAGTAATGCTTTAGCTTCCAGTAAGGTTTATGTTTTTGTTATTGTTAGTGAATCATTTAATTATCAAGAAAATGGTGTGGGACAGAATTTAACGTTGGACATAAAATCTATTGACTGATGATAGTATTTTCAATTGTAAATTATAAAGGGAATTAACAGATTTTGATAAGATTAGATACATTTAAAAATCTCTATTAATTCCCAATGGGGTCACTCATTTGCTGCCAAATCAACTCATACAGACAAACAACACAGGCATTACATTCACAGTACATAACAATTAAATAACTCCATGAAGTGCCACTTAAGGCATGATTAGCAGCTGAAAGATGCGACATCTAAAGATCAAATCTAAAAGTGTTCATTCAAAAATATGACCGCTGCTGGAACAAAAGACCCTCTGAGACTTTCAGTAGGACACTGAGGACTGATTTCAATTTGGCGCTTGTTCTCTTTCCTACAGCGACCTTAAGTGAGTCTGGGGTAAGGCCAATCACTGAGCCAGCCTTTCTGATCATCTCATTGATCCTGTTTTTAAGCCTGTGAAGTGATGCTGCCCCCAGCAGAGCACAGCATAATAGAGGACACCACTTAAGATTCCCTGATTTTAAAAAAATCATGAAGAAGCTTGTTGCTGATATCAAAGGATCCAAGCTTCCTCAAGGCAAATAGTCTTGACTGAGCTTTCTTGAATACAAAAACAGGGTTCTTTTTCCAGTTTAACCTACTACCAAGTGTATTATGACACCAGTCCAATGTTCCAGAGCCGTGTTCACAGATATAAGAACAGCGAGGACAGAGACAATGTTGCTTGTTCACATCAGTTCGTCATCTTTCACCTGCTCCTGATAGACTGGTTCTCTAAGTACTGACGTAGTGTTCATACTCGTGAACTAGTCAGCTTGAATACAAACATACATCTTATGTGTATGTGTTTCTGTGTACATGCTCTGTGTAAGACGTGTGTGGCGCACATCACAGTTGTTCCAAGGTGCTAATCTCAACTCCTCTTATCCAAATACGTGTGTGTGTCTTTCCCTAAGGTCTACGCGGTTGGTGGCTATGATGGGCAGAGCCGCCTGAGCAGTGTGGAGTGCTATGACTCCTTCTCTAACCGCTGGAAAGAGGTGGCTCCCATGAAAGAGGCGGTCAGCTCTCCGGCCGTGGCCAGCTGTGCTGGCAAGCTCTTTGTCATAGGAGGAGGGCCTGATGACGACACCTGTTCAGACAAGGTGGGAAACAGATGTGTGCACCCCGAACCACACACTTAGCACATAGTGATGAAAGCAGGGGGGGGGGCTTTTGTCTCAGATAACTAGTTTTCAGTGATTATACCTTTGAAAAAGCAAGGGACGTGCTAAACATTTGAAATTTTTTTTCAAAGCAGACTTTTCAGTGGGTTGTCTGAACAATGACTCGACTTGTCGGTTTCAACAGAGGTATTCATTTAAATGAGTCTGTCCTTAGATAGGCTCATAAATTACAAGTTTAAGTTTCTTGTTTGCGTTAATAATAAAAAAGCATAGAAAAGAAGAAACTCTGCGTAAAATGTAGGATATGTTTCTGGTCAAACCTTCTTAGGAAAAGATATTGGGAACATTTATTGTACGTTTATAGTATGTGCTAGTTCACAGTCTTTGCATGATTATATATTTTAGATGAATGATAAATGGACATTAATAGAGCTTATGCTCCTTTCTACTGCCAACAGAAGAAACAAAGTAAAGTCGACTGTTATGGCCTATGCTTGAAAGAAGCAATTGTCCTTTATAAAGGACAATGAAATGCTTCCTGATTCACCAAGAATAGAGGAGGAAACATGTTAGATCAGGACTCGACAGGCTACCCTGGAAATTACGTTGTAACTGACAGCCATAGTAAACAAAGAGACATTGTCATTCGCTGGAACTCAAACTTCAGTTGAAGCATTTTTCCTCCATGGAATAGCTGGTATGCTTTGTCAATATCCCTGCAGGCTAGAAAACACGTACTACAGGAAGAGAGGCATTCTGATAAGAGTTAACCCAGCATGGCTGACTATTTCTACCTGGGTCAACGTGGCCAAAAAGGACTAGAGTTCGTGCTGGTTCCAATTTCTTAGCGCTATTATCTCTGGAGTCTCCTAAAGACAGCATCCACATTGATTCTAAAGGTCCTTGTCTGTTGGAGTGTGTTGTTCATGTCAGCTGCAGTCAAGAGATGACACTGTTTGGAAGGAGGCTATTTTAAATAGATGTGGGTGAGAGAATGCTTGGATTGTATGCAAAACCACACAGTGAAGCTAAAGTCAGCCCACAGAACAGCCAGTAAAAAGAGCTACATATTTTTTTCTATTCAACAACTATTTTCCCACCACATGGAGTCTATTGTCTTCTTTCTTCTACCACAATAACACAACTAACTAACTACATGTAACTGTATGTCAGGTCCAGTGCTATGACCCAGAGACGAATACTTGGTTGCTGCGGGCCAACATCCCCATCGCCAAGCGCTGTATCACAGCAGTGTCCCTCAACAACATGGTCTATGTGTGCGGTGGTCTCACCAAGTCCATATTCTGCTACGACCCCGCAGAGGACTACTGGATACATGTGGTTCACACCTTTAGCAAACAGGTAATGGATTAAATGCAGATCACTTGAGGATTAGGCTGTTTGAATACACCTGCAAGAATCCTCTGAAGCCGCAATCTCTGATTTCTGTCCCTCTCCCTGCAGGAGAGCTGTGGCATGTCGGTGTGCAACGGCAAGATCTTCATTCTTGGCGGCAGAGGGGAAAATGGCGACGCAACAGACACCATCCTGTGCTACGACCCGTCATCAGGCATCATCACCGGAGTGGCAGCCATGCCGCGGCCGATCTCCTACCATGGCTGTGTAACCATCCACCGCTACAATGACAAATACCACAAGATCTGACCATAAACAAGCACACACACACACACACACACACACACACACACACTGAAGAACTTTAACTTTCTTTGAAACTTAAGCTCTTCACCCATGCACAACACAAACACAACTACACACGTCTTTATAACAGGCACATTATGTTGCTCAGTCCACAGTAGCTGAGCTAATTTATTTTCTCACAGCATCGCGTAGCAATACTCATTGTGGTGCTGTGAATCATTTGCTGTTGTGTAACATAGTTATTGCCCTTCCGTGGAAATGTGGTTGGTGACGCTAATGGCTTGTCTGTAACCTGAGCTCAGGTGAAGTCGGATCGAAATGGCAGATGTGGCTTTGCATTAGCAGTAACTGCACAAGGTTGGGAACTTATGGATCATATATGACAGAAGTAAAGAAACTGATTGTGATAATGGGAAAATAAATTAATGATAGAAAATGTTATGGGAGATTGGATTAACATTAGGATCACGGATCTGTGGTGACAATATTATAAACTCATGGTTCACTTACTTAGCTTTTCACAGAGCTTTCAACCCATCCCATTAAGCTTACTGAAAGAAACCAATGTAAATGGTTTATGAAAAGCTAATTATAAAAAAGTATTTTTACACAAATGAAAAAACACTAAAGTTTCTAAATGACAGTTAATTGTTTGTTTCCCTAACTGCATATTATATGGATTTAATACTACCTGGCAGAGCTAAAACTCTTAATAACATTATTGAGTTTTAATAATACATTTTATTATGATAGTGATTACAAGCAGGTAATCAGTTTAAGTGTACTTGTGCTTTTATTACTGTGCAAAGTGACCTCACCCTTAGATCTAAGTTGCTGATGAGCTGAAATATGAACAAGAACAATGCCATAGGACAAAAAAAATGTAAACAAAAAACACATGAGCCAAGAATGAACTGCCAACAGAAGAAAAATGGTATGACTCTTATTTTTTACTGACAGATGAGTGGCCAGGTGAGATATCTAACCTTAAACCCAATGCACTCCATGCCGATATTTACATACAGCACTTGTAGAGAACATTAAAAAAGTACTGTCCTCCGTTTTTTAAACTCTTTTCCTTAACACTAAAAATGACCTGATAAAAATGTGGTAAACAGTCAGCCAGCTGTTCTCCCACAGTATCAGTGGTTCTACGTTGCTCTCACCCGTTGACATTGAGCAGGGTTAAGAGAAGAGATTAAGAGCGGAGGCCGTACCAAAATATTGGAATATAGCCACTTTTTGCTTTGCCCTCGTTTCCTCCTCATATCACCTAGTTCCACTTCCCGTATGCGTTTCCCTTTTTCATCCTCCAGCTGTGTCATCACCTCACATTTCCATGTCTCCTTTTAAGCTTTATTTTGGCTCCACTTAATTATTATTATTACACTCATTTTTCATTACTGTCATTTTGTTTTTAAGTTATACTTGTTTGTCCTTTTTTTTTACAATTGGATGTTTACTGTATTATAAGTAGCTTTAGTGTGTCTATTTCATATCGATGTTGGATCATTGGTGTACTGGGCTTGTGGGCGGTTTTGCAGACATGAGAAGCTTTTTGTAGATCAAACTCAAAGACTGCTCTGAATAAGTGGTGTGCATGTTGTAGTATGTGTGTGTGTGTGACTTTCACGACTCTTGTCTGGATGTGTCAGCGCCAAGGAGGTTCATCAAGGAGTTCTAGAGTGAGCATTGCACGACTGGTAACTTTTGTTTACCCAAGTTTTCACTCTGATGGTGGCACCGCTCACCTGTGCACTTACAAGATGTATCTCGGGGTGACCATAGATACCTCCAGATGTGCATGTGTGTGTTTACTGGTCAGCTCAGGTGGTGTGTGTAGCACTTCTACACCTCTGACAAAGGGAGTAAAGAGTTCTGAATGACAAGGATTTTGGATGATGTGGCTCATGGTCAGTAAAAGTCACATTTTACTACAGTAGGCGTTGATAGACTCGAGATATTGCTGTGAATATAACTTTTAATATGTTTTCTTTGTTTTAACTTGTATTTAAATGTATCTCTTTCTTGGTTGCATATTGAGTTTTTCTATAACTGAGAGCCCCAATTGTGCGCTTTGACAGAATCGCATTAAATTTATAATTATATTACGAGAAGTTTTTTTTTGTTGTTGCTTTTTTACTGTATCAGTAAATGTTCTTTGCTTTCATGTGACGTATGGAAGAGACAGTAAAAGGGCCTGTCAGCTCCTCCTGTTGGCCACTACCTGCTATGGCTTTGATATTCTAACAAAAACTGCTTCCTTCTGTCTGTCTGTCACAATGACAAAAGCAGGCGGGGGTATTTCGGCTTACACCATCCCCCAGGCGTTTTCTCTGAAGGATGAGTTCTTGGTCAGGACTTCAACAGGACTACAGGCTGTAAAGAAAACATCCTAAGCCCCACTCAGGGTTAACTCAGGAGGCCAAAAAGAGGAGGCTGAGGGGCAAGAATGTGGTAAAGCAAAAGAGTTAGAGGGAGTTAGATAAATAGCGAGAGAGAGAATTTGAGTGTGTGTGCGTCTGTGATTTCACTGAGTATTTACACATAACAACACGTTATGTTGATTTTAAGATTTTCATTATTCGTGATGTAGAAGCATTCATACAATGTTTGCTTTGATAAGATTATTGTTTTTGCTATTGATTTTTTTTCTTTGCTTTTGACTGGTGTGGTGAGTTGTGAGAGCCTTTGCAATTTCACCTGACATGATCTGAATTAAACCCTGAAGAGCTCAGCATTAAAAGATGATTGATGGATTTTGATGTGAATGCAGATAAAAGCCAAAGTGGATTAGATTCAATCCCAAGATTTTGCATGCAAAAATACCCCATAACATTAACTAATGTGTTGCAGAATGCTGCCCGATGTGCCTTGATAAAAGAATGACGAGTGGGGAATTAAATTGTACCATTTTTATATAAACCTTTCTTATCGTATGTATGTTGTGATATTTTAACACTACTTTCTCCTCGGACGCTCTTTGTCTAACTGCGAGAAAGCTTCGGATTTTTGTAAACTGCAGGATGTGGAAATGTGGTTGACTTTTGTAAGAGAAACATCAATAAAGTTTTCTTTCCATCCTTACACTTGTAACCTGTCAGTTAAAGAATGAAGCAATATGAAAGATATTATAGGGTATTAGGTTAACATAGTTTAGAGTTTTAAGATTGCACATACATTCTTTATTTTCACACAAGTTCTACACACTATGTATGTATACAGTACATGCCAGCCTTTAATTTAAACTAAGAGAGATTTCCTGATAATATATGTATTTTTTAAACTATGACAAGAAAAGCAGCTCTTGTACTGGATGAAGCTGACCCAACCATTATTGGGTGTTCTCCTTTAAATTAGTATCAGCACATTGATCTTCACACCATACAAATGTGGGAGATAGAAAATAAGTGATTATACTAAATGATTGAACCCGTAGCACCACCAACCACACTAAAGATTTTGATGAAGACATTGCAGATTTCTTGTTAACAACCAACTACAATAAATACAATAGGAAGTCTTATCAAAATGTCTGCTATCTGCTCCGTATGGCTGGTGAATCCTTTATCTGATCAGGGGACGAATCACTGTTATTGGTGATGTTTGTATGAGCCATCGTGTTGAACAAGAAAGCAGCCACACTCTTTCAAGCTGGTATTGAGCAACTCGTTCTGCAATAAACATTCATGAGGCCTTTTTGTTTTGTCTAATGTGGTGATTATATACTCCATCTTATGGATTAGTTTATTAAAAACCACAAACATTCTTCTCACAGATTCTTATGGGCACAGTGTCTCTAAGTTTGTGTCAGCTAATTAATCTTGTTTATAAGATAATTGGCATTGGCTGCATACTCACTCCTGGTGAAGGCCACAAACATGCACAAACTAATAAGTGGGGTACAGCAGAAGACGTCATTGTTCTGGTCTCAATAAAAAGGGTAGATTCAACAAAACATGACAAACTGACCTACTTTTGAATAGTATAGAAGTTCTTAGTGCTACCATGTATAGTGATGTACATTGACAGTCATCAGACAAGGAAACTATGTGGTGCGTGTTAAGTATCTCTTGGAAAATTAGCTTTTTAAAATAAATTTGGCCAAACTCCACACTGCTGGAGGAGAGGATTTTTTTTTAATCTATATTGTGGACTTCATGTGCACATTAGAAACTTGTTTCACTTCGTGTCACATGTTGATCTTTTAGTTCATGGCATGTGAACATTAAACATGTAAGATTAATAGCAGTAATACCTACAGGTCTACAGCTATAACTGTCCTGGCTTAAAAGCAAGCATCTGTGCATTGCTGTTCTTAAAGAAATCATTGCCTGATTGTAGTCAATCCTGCCACACTCATATGATGGCATTAAGGATTCCCATTGAAGCAGTCATAAAGAAATGATGAGAGAGTAAAATTCCTGAGTTCTTGTGTATTGTTATGTCTTTGTAAAACAGTGGTCCCTGGTGGCTATTCTGGTGAGTTGCAAGGCTAACTATCCACCTCTTAGCTTACTTGTCCACCTCGAGATTTAGCAATTTACAACACATAAGTGTGTGAGATGAATATAGCATAACGCAAAGGATATGCTATCACTGAATTAAAACACACGCCTTACAAAGAAACGTTGCTCCCCAGCACAGGGCACTCCAGTAAGTTTACATTTCAAACGGATTGAATCGGTGTATACAACTGTGTGCTAACGTTAGCTAAATTAACAAACAAGGCTAGCAGTTGGCTAACGGTACCACTGCCGGCTACACGAACGTTAGACACTATCTGGTAGCGTAACGTTTAATCATTTGGTTTACAATTGGCTTCATTGGAGGCTCTGGTTTCTCCTATATTAGCATAACTAGCTATCCAGTCCGTGCTAAAGTTAGCTGTGGGAATCAGCTCCTCTGCTAGCCGGCTAATTCGATGCTAAGTGTGCTACCATAACAACTGGCCATGGGAGCATGGGTGTGAGTAGCTAACTTTAGCTGTTTTGAGATGCATTTTTCTTAATATGTTCTTCTTCGCAGGCGGTCATGTCAGGAGTTAAAAGGAAAATAGAAGGAAACGACCCCGACTATGATGACATTTCGCTGTTTCAAAACAGTAAGAGAAACAAAGCGGCTGAACATAATGGTGAGTTTATGATCCGAACCCTGAGACAGTGTATGTGCTTTAGTTGCATGTTGTGACACCTGACTTTCTTTTAATACGTGTACCTCCTGCCTCTTCAGCACGAGAAGCAGCGGTGCAGAAGATTGAAACCATCATCAGAGAGCAGTTTTCTTTGGAGATGAAGAACAAAGAGCATGAGATAGATGTGATAAGTCAGGTAACGTTATCTCCGGTTTTTTCTTCATTTCATTGTACGATATTTCACTCGTTCACTTGTATCAGTAATGCAGAGATACAAAAAGTAACTTGCATACTTGTTGTGTGTTTACAGTATAAAGCAGAGCATTTTGGTTAATTGTTTTTCCCATTGTTTTGCAGAGACTCAATGAAGCCAGGAGGATGATGGACAAGCTCAGGGCATGCATAGTGGCTAATTATTATGCCAACGCTGGAATAACAAAGCTCCCGGAGGTAGATTCCCGTATATTGATGCTCAGACAACTGTCAGCTGCTCTACAGTGGTGGAATAGTACAGAAGCAGCAACCCTCGTTTCTTCTGTGTCCTAGCATGTTTCTAAGAGTGACCCTGCCGTGCTGAACCATCCGGCCATCCGACGGTTCCTGGAGTCCCCATCCCGGTCCTCTTCCCCTCTCAACCAGGGCTCCGAGACTCCTTCTCTGGCCCACTCGGAGTCCGAGTCCCTCTCACAGCAAGGAGAGGGAGCTGAGAGGGACGGAGAGGGGGCCTGGAGAGAGGACGGCAGCAGGCAGGAGCGCAGACCCGGGCGCAATACAGGCAAAGTGAGTTCAAGTGACAAAGATGACAGGGTTTATTTGATGAATGCAAAGTGGTACCAGCATTAATCTTGCAGGGTTTTTTCTTTCTTTTTTCTTTCATCGAGCTTGTAATGTTCTCCATCATTTGTCGTAGGACACGTTTGGCGTGCCGTTGTCCTTAGGAGCAGAGCAGAGGGTCACTTATCACACTGCTGGAAATGAAGCCTCTAGACTCTATGCAAAGAAGACCATTGTAGTGGGGAACGTGTCCAGGTATGTTACCAAACTAAGCAAAAGTTTTATTCACTTTGTCATCTTTCTGACTTAGTATAATGTAGAGCAGGCCTTTGTAGTTTAGGAGCATCTTAGGAAGTCATGAGACTGTTAACATGATAGAGGAACTGTTGAATATGTTTCAGATCACAAAAAGACCTCTCCTCCTTTATTTTAATGGCTCAGAATGTTGGAAGAAACACAATCATAACATCAAAGTTTGGATTTCCATCAATCTCTTTGAAAACCGTAGACATTTGGCAAATATGTCGATGTTTCTAATTTCTCTTGTTAAAAACAATGACATGTCATTACAACGAGGTGCTGTTAGTCAAAGATACAAATATCACTGAAAGGTTCCGTTGGAAACTTTTTTTGAAAAGAATTTTCTATCATATTTGCTCAACCTGTCACTATATCCTGACAGTAGTGCGTGAGACAGATATAATATGTGAGAACAGGTTCCTCTGCCTCCTCTTAGTGCTCCTAAAGGCATTTGCAAGTTTCCACCACCGCTCCCGAAGGAAAACAACCAATAAGAGCCAATGAACGCAGCTGTCAATCACTGCTTGTGAATTCCGATCCAAATGTAAAAAACGAGGCAGCGCTGATCAAATGAAACAAGATTCTGTTACTGCATTACCTATTTATCACCTGTACTGTTTTAGCCATAATACTTTAAGTTTGCTCCGGCCGGTGGGCCATGCTCGGTTTTGGCTCGACTGTTTTCAACATTGCAGCCAGGTCATAAACTTTCTCATTTTACAGCTAATTGATACATTAAGATATGTTTCCGAAAATTGAGAAATAGGCAGTTTGACAGTTTGATCAGAGTTCACAAGCGGTGATTGTCAGCTGTGTTAGAGACTCGTCGGCTCTGCTTTGTTGTTTTCCTTTGAGCGTAGTAGAATGTATCTTTCTCATGCGCTACGGTCAGGGTATAGTGATAGTTTGAGCAAATATGATAAAATGTTATTTTTTATAAAATGTGTCCTGTGCAAAATGTTGATGAACTGTACACTAGAGTGGTTGTTGTTTTGATGTAAGTTAGTGCGACTCTTCAGGTATGTCTCTCCCTCAACAGTTATTACGTGACTGTGGACTGAAGAGCTGAGACACAATTTGGTTTCATTACAAGCCCGGTCTTGATGCCGTTTTTATCAAGAATAATGCCTTTTTTTTAAATTTTATTTTATTTTATTTATTTATTTTTTTTATATACTTCATTTCATTTATTTTCCCCTGGGCACGGGTTGATCCAGATACCTTGCGGTTCCTCAAGACCGCTTGTTTCAGTGTAATACGAAGCACATGCTATTTCTAGGAAGCTTGAATGACGAGGCCCATATTTGTTGTGCACTCTAAATATCCTGAAGGGCTAAGCTGGAATGTCATTTCTCGTGCTCTACATCATAGGTGCGCGTATTAAGAAGGCCCCTCTGGTTGTCTTTGCTCTTTATCTCTCACCCTCAGGTACATTCCCCCAGATAAGCGTGAAGAAAACGACCAGTCCACCCATAAGTGGATGGTGTACGTCAGGGGCTCCAGGAGGGAGCCCAGTATCGACCACTTTGTGAAGAAAGTCTGGTTCTTCTTGCATCCCAGCTACAAACCCAACGACTTGGTGGAAGTCAGGTTTGTGTGTGTCTGTTTGAGTTTGTTTGAGTGTGTTTGCACTCTTCAGTCATGCACACAGGCAGAGCTCCCCCTCTTGTTGCACAACTTAGCACTTGGGTGCTGATTTAACAGCAGAAGTCAGAGAGATCGGGACAAACGACAACTCCAATAACATTTGCCGTCACGTGGTGTGTTGCATGTAGACACAATGTTTACTTCCAAACTGACACCATTATTCTAGGTCAGTAGTTGGCCCCGCCTCTTTCCACGCACCACTTGCCAAACTGAACTAAGCAAGGAAACAATT